CTGCGGGGCCCCCCGGCTCCGAGTCCCCTGCTGCTGCTGCTTCTGCTGCTGCTGCTGCTGATGGCGACGAGGCCGAAGCAGCAGAGTCATATGAAGGCGCGGACGAGGAAGCAGAAGCAGTAAGTTTTCTTTTTATTTTTTTCCAAGTTTTCTTTTATTTTTTTCCAAGTTTTCTTTTTATTTTCTTTCCAAGTTTTCTTTTTATTTTTTCTCTCTAAGTTTTCTTTTTATTTTTTTACAAAGTTTTATTTCATTTTTCTTCTTTTTTGGCCGCTGAGGTGTACGTACACCCCGCGCGGCCAACGCGTGCGGTGTACGTACACCCGAAGCAGACCCCGAACTAAAAGAAACTCCACTTTTGCATTTTCAGTTTTTAATTTTTAAAAACACTTTTGACTTTCGGAATTCTCGAAACAGCAAGTGCTCGCTGCAGTGTACGTACACCGCGTGCATGCATGCGCGCTGTTCATTCGTTTCATTTCCATTTTTTATTTTCACTTTTAATTTTCATTTTTATTTTTTTTATTTTTTTGTTTTCAAGTTTGCTTTCTTTGTTTGCTTTTGCTGCTGCTTCTTTCACTCTCGTTTGCTGCAACTTATAAATTAATATTTTGAGAATTAACTTTTATTTTCCGTTTTATTTATTTCTGCTTTTTCCTGTTTATTTTGTCCATTTTAATTTATTTAATTTATTTAAATTTGTTTTATTATTTCCATTTTCTTCACCCATTTATTTCTTTTCCTGCGCAACTTGAAGTTCCCCAACTTATCTTCAGTTTTAATATTTACTTTATTATTTATTTACTATTTTTGAATTATCTCTTTATTATTTTATTATTTATTTATTATTTAATTATTTATTTGTTTGATTTATTCAAAGTTTAGTGTCTCCTTTTTATTTAAAATTTATTTATTCATCCATTTAATCACTTACTTGTTTGTCTATTTAACAAATAGGTTATTTAATTAATTATCTTATTAATTAATTTATTAATTTATTTTAATTTTATTTATTTATTTTATTTTATTTATTTATTTTATTTATTTATTTATTTATTTATTTTTTATTTTTGTTTTGCAGCTGCAAGACCTGATGGCCCGTTTGCCCGAAGGGGCGCCGCCGCCGGGGCTGTTGGTGAGAATTTTCACTTTAGACTTTAAGTTAAATTAATTTTAATTTAATTTAATTTAATTTAATTCATTTTTAAATTAGTTTTTAATTCATTTTAAATTAGTTTCAATTTAATTTTGAATTAACTTTAAATTCATTTTCCATTTTTGAATTGAATTCATGCCAAGAGGCTTTTCTCTTGCTTGCAGTCTCGGCAGCTAGCAGCAGCTAGCTAGCTAACAGCTAGCTAGCTAGCTAGCTAGCTAGCTAGCTAGTTGCTGCTACTGCTGCTGCTGCTGCTCAAAGCGAGGTAGCTAGCTAGTTGGCTAATATATAGTATACAGCTAGCTAGCTAGCTAGCTAGCTAGCTAGCATATAGTATGCAGTGTGAACAGTACACGGCTCGCTAGCTGGCTAGCTAGCTGTTTACCTAACTAGCTGGCTAGCTAGCTGTGTACCTAGCTAGCTAGCTAGCTAGCTAGCTAGCGAGTGCCTGCAGTTGTGTCATTCTTAAACTTTGAGCCCTTGGCTTTTTTCTAGCAGTCCCTCAGCAGTGAAGAGTTGAGCTTGTGTTCGTTTTTGTTTCTTTTGATTTATTTGTTCTTTTAAAGTTCTTAATTGTCTCTTATGAAGTCTTTTATTATTTTGCATGCGTTTAAAGAAGGCGAAGGGCGCGGAGTGTACGTACAGCGCAGGCACTGTGTGGCCTGTTTGCGACTTTTCTTACTTTCGCCATTTCTTTGGGAAAATGGGAAATTCGAAGTGTTCTGAAGATCTAAATGCGAAATATATTCAAAAAAGTGTTTTTTAAAACAAATGGATTTGTTTTTCGCTTCATTTTTATGTGAAATGCGTGCAGACTTCTGCACATTTGAGGTGTATGTACACCCGGTTGCGAAGGCGCAGCGAACGCGCGTCTCGGCCCCAACATGTTTTTTCATCATTTCTTTTAATTTTTTGCATTTTCGGAATTATTTTTAGAATTATAATTCCTTTTAATTGTTCTTTTGTTCTTTTTTGTTCTTTTTCCGCGCTTCGGGTGTCTCTACAGGCCACAATTGCCCGCCTGCAGCACTTGAAGCGAAGAGGCATTACTGTGAACGCCAATATAGACACTTCTCTAGATTTCAAAAACCCTTATTTGTTAGAAGTGAGTTTTGAGTTTTCATTTAATTTAATTTCATTTATTCTCTCAATTCAATTTCATGTCACTTTTGTTTATTTCATTTCATTTATTTTGTTCAATTTCATCTTTTCGTTTTTTCCTTTTCCAAAATGTTCCACTTGGGGCTGGCGGGAACTTTTCTTTTTTGTTTTTTATTTTCATTATTTTCCTTTTTATCTTTTCTTCTTTTTCACCATTTAATCATTATCTTTTATTCTGTTTTTTATTATTTGGTTTTCACTTACTATTTTTATTCTTCCAATTTATCTTTTTATTGTTTCTTTCTTTCTCCATTTAATTCCGTTTTGTCTTTTCATTTAATTTCTTCATCACTTTTGTTATTCAATTCGATTTTATTTCTGCTTTTTTGCATTTGAGTTCATTTTTCCTGTTTTTTCGTTTAATCCACTTTTGTTTTCCATTTAATTGATTTATTCCTCTTTAAATTCATTTAATTTCGTTTTTGTTTTCATTTTTTGATTATTTATTTTCAAATGCACTTAACTTCGTTTTGTTTTCTCAAATCCTGAAAAGTTGAACTTTTCTTTTTGGGTCCATTTTGGGGATATTTTTGCGAATTTAATTCCAATTTTTGTGGAAAGAAGTCCATTTTAATTGCAGGAAGTTGCTTTATTTGAAATCCTTTCTTTAAATCTTTCAATTATCCAATTTGTTGTTTTTATTTTTCTTTTTTCAGAAAATAATGAAGTTATTTGGAATAGACCCTTACTGCTCAAACAGCCCCGCGGCTCTTTCTTGCAATCCCCTGGCGCACTTCGAGGCCGAGCCCGACGAAGGTCCTTTTTACCTTTTTGTCGGCAAGTTTTAAATCTTTTTATTTTCTTTTTTTTTTTTCTTTTTTTTGATTTAAAAGTTCCTTTTTATCATTTGTCAACAACTTCTGTTCTTTTATTCTTCTTCTTCTCTTCAAAAAGACCTTTTTTTCTTTTTTTGCAAAGTTTTATTTCTCATATTTTCCATTTTAGCATTAAGAACACACAATCATTTAAAAGTCTTTTTCTCTTTTTCAAAAACTTTTATTCTTTTATTATTCTTCTTTTTGTTTTTAAAGTCTTTTCTAAAACTTTTATTCTTTTATTATTTTTGTTTTCAAAGTCTTTTATCTTTTCAGAAAGTTTCATTTCTCTTTTTGTTTTTAAAAGTTCCATTTTGCAATTTTTTGATAATGCATGCAAATCCGAGTGAAAATAAATAATGAAAAAATAAATTAAAATAAATATAAAAAATAAATGGAAATAATAAATGAAGATAAAAAATGAGTGAATATTTGACTCATTTTGCCAGCAGCAGCAGCAGCAAAACTAAATGAATTCACCACAGCAGCAGCAGCAGCATTAGCAGCAGTAGCAGCAGCAGCAGCAGCAGCAGCAGCAGCAACAGCAGCAACAGGGACAGAGATGCCGTGCGCTGGGGTGTATGTACAGCAAAGAGGCAAGAGCGAAGGAGACAGAGGCGAGAAAAACAAAGAGAAATGAAAGAGTCGTTTGCTGCTGCTGCTGCTGCTGCTGCTGCTGCTACAGCAGCAGCAGCACCCCTAGGCTCTTCAGCTGTATCGACAGCAGCAAAGTCACATCCCCCGAACTCAACCAGTAAGTTTCCTTTCAGGCCTTTACGCAGCAGCAGCAGCAGCAACAGCAGCAGCAGCAGCAGCAGCAGCAACAGCAGCAGCAGCAGCAGCAACAACAGCAGCAGCAGCAGCAGCAGAAGCAACAGCAGCAACAGCAACAGCAGCAGCAGCAGCAGCAGCAGCAGTTCGAAACAGTAACGAATTGCACTTTCGAACCAGAACTGTGAAAACATAAATGCATTTAACAAACAAATGTGCATTTATGAATTATTATTTCTTTTATTTATTTATTTATTTTATTTATTTAATTTATTTAATTTATTTTTATTTACTTTTATTATTTGCTTCTTTTCTTTAGGCTCGGGCCCTGCTGCAGCTCCTAGCACTGCAGCAGCAGCAGCAGCTGCTGCTGCCCACATCAGCGCTGCCGTCTCCCAGGCCGGTGAGTTTGCCCTAAACCCTAAACCCTAATTCTAAACCCTAAACCCTAATTCTAAACCCTAAACCCTAATTCTAAACCCTAATCTTAAACCCTAATTCTAAACCCTAAACCCTAATTCTAAACCCTAATCTTAAACCCTAGTTCTAAACCCTAAACCCTAATTGTAAACCCTGCAGACAGCAAATTGTTTTTTTTGCTGCAGCTGCGCAAAGAGCAAAAAGATAAAAAACAACACCGTGTAGAACTTCGCAGCGCTGCTGCTGCAGCTGTTGCTGCTGCAGCCGCTGCTGCAGCTGCTGCTCCCTAGCTGCTGCTGCTGCAGCCGCTGCTGCAGCTGCTGCTGCAGCCGCTGCTGCTGCAGCCGCTGCTGCTGCAGCCGCTGCTGCTGCAGCCGCTGCTGCTACAGCCGCTGCTGCTGCAGCCGCTGCTGCTGCAGCCGCTGCTGCTGCAGCCGCTGCTGCTGCAGCCGCTGCTGCTGTAGCCGCTGTTCTGCTGTAGCCGCTGCTGCGGCTGCTGCTCTAGCTGTTGCTGCTGCTGCAGCTGCTGCAGCTGCTGCTGCTGCTGCAGCTGCTGCTGCTGCTGCAGCTGCTGCTGCAGCTGCTGCTGCTGGCTGCAGCGCTTTTGATTTGCTGCTGCGCTTGAGGGCGCCGATGGATGATTTCGATTTCTCGACTTTATTCTTTTCACCGCTTTATTAGTTTTTAAATTATTTATTATTATTTATTATTTACTATTTATTTATTATTATTTATTATTATTATTACCATTATTATTATTTAGTATTATTACTATTATTATTATTATTATTATTATTATTATTATTATTATTATTATTTATTACTAATATTATTATTTATTATTTACTTTTATTTCCTTTTTGGAAAATGCTGCTGCGGACTTCGCCGCTGCTGCGGAGGCCTTTGTTGCCACTAGCATAATTATTATTATAATGCAAATTATTATTTTAATAAAAAATATTTAATTATTTAACTATTTAATTATTTAATTATTTAATTGTTTAATTATTTAATTATTTGGTTGTTTATTATTTATTCTTTAATGCTTTCTAATTATTAAAAAAGGCAACTCAAAAGTTGCACTTCAAAAAACTGCCACAAAAGTTCATCAACAAATCAGAGCCTTCCTCGAGGTCTCACTGCGCCGGCAGCTAGCTGACTAGCTAGCTGCCCCACAGCTAGCTAGCTAGCTAGCTAGCTAGCTGGATAGCTAGCTGGTTGGCTAGCTAGCTAGCTGGATAGCTAGCTGGATGGCCAGCTAGCTACGTGATTAGCTGGCTGGCTAGCTAGCTAGCTAGCTAGCTAGCTATGTAACTGCTGCGTTGAGGTGCTCGCATTCTATTTGGCTAGCTAGCTAGCTGGGGAGCCGGCCAGCTGCGTGGCTAGCTAGTAGCTAGCAGGCTACTGGGCCGCTAGCCATGCAGTCGCATAGCTAGCTGGCTAGCTAGCTAGCCAGCCAGCTAGCCAGCTAGGTAAATAGCCACAAGTGGCACAGCCCAGCTAGCTGCTTCGCTAGCTGGCTGTTAGTTTGCCCTCCGTCTGGTCTACAGGGTGGCTAGCTAGCCCGCTAGCTAGCCACCACTTCGCATCTGGGCCACTGCCCGTTGGCTAGCTAGCTAGCTAGCTAGCTAAGCCACCGCAGTCCAGCTAGCTAGTTGGCTAGCTAGCTGGCTGTCCCACCGCTAGCTAGCAAGCTAGCTAGCTAGCTGTTCCACCGCCAGGCAGCTAGCTAGCTGCCCGGCTTGCCAGCTCGCCGTCCCACCGCCGGCTAGCCAGCTGGCTAGCTAGCTGGCCGTCCCACCGCCAGCTAGCTAGCCAGCTAGCTAGCTAGCTAGCTGGCCGTCCCACCGCCAGCTAGCTAGCCAGCCAGCCAGCTAGCTAGCTAGCTAGCTAGCTAGCTAGCTAGCTAGCTAGCCGGAAGCGGAGGCGAGGGCGAGCCCCTTGCCGCGGGTGAGGTCGGGGTCTATGAAGGAAGTTTGGTTTTCAATGCCTCCGGAATTGCTGCCTCTTTCCAAAAGAAAAAATCCCTTAAGTCCCCACTGGGGCCCCCAAGTGTTGCGGACGATCCAGTACTTCTGGGGATCCGATCCCGATCCCGATCCCGTCTCCCCCCACCCCACAATCGTCACTGCGTGGTTCGTGTACTCCCACCCGCTCAGCGCGCTCCCGCTGCTGCTGCTGCTGCTGCTGCTGCTGCTGCTGCTGCTGCTGCTGCTGCTGCTGGGGGCGCCGGGAGAGTCGCAGACGCGGGCGTGTGGGGCCCCCCGAGTTGTATATACACCTGAACTGTAGGCAAACAACGAAGGCGGGGCGTCAAGAGCTGCTGCAACTGGACCATTGGTCATTATTTCTTTCATTATTTTTTCTTCTGCAGCACAAGACAGACACTCGTAGCAGCCCCCCACGTAGCCGTAGCCTTTGGCGAACCTGCAGAAGCAGCAGCAGCAGAAACAAAAAAAAATTTCGACATTTAAGCTCTATTTCGCACAGCTAGCTGGCTAGCTGGCTGGGGGGGCTCTCGTTGTTTTAATTCAAAAAAAGAGGCAATTGTGAATTAAATGAATGTTCAAAAGTGCTTCTTCAGCTGCCTTTCCAGCGGACCCACGGCAAGTGCTGAGGTGTATGTACACCTCGACTCAGCCTCCGAACAAGCTATTACTGCCACTTCTTCTCCATTGTTCTCACTATTTATTACTAATAATTATAATTATCACTCAGAGTCTTTAATATTATTGTTATTATTGTCCCATTCTGAAAAGCAGTTGGAGAAAAGCTGGCTCCACGGCTGAGGTGTACGTACACCCGAACTAATAATGCGCAGCAGCCGCTGCGCCGCATTTTCTGCTGTTTCGGCTGTCAATTGAATTATTTTGGCAGTGGAATTGAAGTTAATTCATTTATTTCTTTTTAAAAGATACAATTAGATTAAAAAATGTTCAAAAAAAAGGAAAAAGTCGAAACTTACCATCTGTTCTCCCCCTGGTGGCAAGTGCCCGTGGCCTCCCCCGAAAACAAAAAAGCTGCACTTGAACTGCTGTCTTCTCCACTTGTGTTGTTTTCACTTTTTGGAAAATCTTTTTCACTTTTTAGGAAGTCTTTTTCACTTTTTAGAAAATCTTTTTCGTTTTTATTTCGATTCAAAACGGGACAAGAAGACAAGTCCATTGCCGTGTACGGCATGCACTCTTCGTCCAAGATGCCTGTGCAGCAGCAGCAAAAAGCAGCAACTTGAAAAAAGAATAAATAAATCAAATAACGAAATTGGAAAATAAATTAATAAACGAAACAAAAAAGAAATTAAAAAAGAAATTATCAAGAAGTTAGAAGCAGCAGCAGCAGCAGCAGCAGCAAATTAAAAAGAAATAAAAACAAATAAAAAACTCTCGCCTATTTCAATAGCCTAGGCATCAAAAAGGAAACCAAAAAATAAGAAAAAAGACATTAAAAAGAAATTAAAAAGAAATTAAAGCAAATAAAAAAAAATAAATAAATAAGAGATTAAATAAATAAACTCTGTACTATGAACTCATGTAATTAAAAAGAAACAAGAAATTAAAAAGAAATAAAAGCAAACAAACAAAAAAGAAAAATAAAAAATAAAAACAAAATTAAAAATAAAAATAATAAACTCTTGCCTATTTCAGCAGCATGTTTTCCGACTAAGTACGGAAGGCCTCCGTGGCATCCTTGATTATAAAATGAACAAGACAAAACAGACTGAGGCGACAGCTTCACTACTGCTTCCTGCTGCTGCTGCTGCTGCTGCTCCTCCTGCTGCTGCTGCTGCTGCTGCAGCTGCTGCTGCTGCTGCTGCTGCTGCTGCTGCTGCTGCTGCTGCTGCTGCTGCTGCTGCTGCAGCATTGCTGCAGGGTCCTGGGGGGGCGTAGTGGTGGCGAGGCTGCGTCCTTGGAGTTTTGCTGCAGCAATCTGGAAGCGCTGCTGCAGCGCGAAAAGAGCAGCAATTGCGTAGCAGCTGCCGCAGCCGCCTTGGTTTGCTGCTGCTTCTTCGTAGTTGGGATCTGTGAAGGGACTTGGCCACGAGAAGAACGCAGGCAGCTCTTCCTGCTGCTGCTGCTGCTGCTGCAGCAGCAGCAGCTGCTGCTGCTGCTGCTGCTGGGAGTGGGCTTTGACGGGCACTGTTTTGGTCTTTGCTGTGCTTTTTTCTTGGGAAAAGCTGACGGGGGATAAAACAGCAGCAGCAGCAGCAGCAGATTTGCTGCGGGTGTCGAGGGGCTTTTCGCCTGCGCAGCAGCAGCAGCAGCAGCAGCAGCAGCAGCAGGCTTGCAGCAAGCAAAATAAGTGCTTTAGTTGTCCTTTGAGGCCTTTAATCCTTTATTTTGAAATAAAGAAACTTTATTTTATTTATTTTCCCAAATTACCTTCTTTACAAGGGCATGCAAAAGCTTGAGAAGCAGCAGCGTCTCCTGCAGCTTCCTCCAGAAACACAGGACCCCCTTCGCTGCTGCCTGCATGCAGCAGCAGCAGCAGCAGCAGCAGCAGCAGCAGCAGCAGCAGCAGCAGCAGCAGCAGCAAGTACATATTAAATATAAATACGTGCATCATGTGCAAAGTAAATGTAAATGGGACAATTGCAAATCCTACAGAGGTTTTACATTTTATATTTTTATTTTTATTTTATAAAATATAAATATATAAAACATATCATATATGTAATATATATTATACATTTCGTTATTTATTTATTTATTTATTTATTTATTTATTTATTTATTTATTTATTTATTTATTTATTTATTTATTTATTTATTTATTTTTGTCTCGCATTTGATTAAAGCACTTTGCTTATTAACTACATAATAAAATTGTACATTCCATCAAATGCATTTTAAATAATTGAAAATATAAATTCAAGTATTTAACTAATGCAATTCAATGAAACAAAAGCTTCCAACTGCAGCAGCAGCAGCAGCAGCAGCAACAGGAGCAGCAGCAGCAGCAGCAGCAGCAGCAGCAGCAGCAGCAGCTGGGTTACCCAGGAGGCGGGGAGAAGATTGGAATTGTTTCAAAAGGGAATTGAGGAAGTTTTTATTTTGATTTGCAAAAGAAGAATTAACTGCAGCAATCCAAGAACTCTTTTTGCTGTTGTGCTGCAGCACGAATTCTTCGCTGAGGAAGTAGCTCAGCTCGGGTGTACGTACACCCTGCGCCCCCCCCGCTGCTGCTGCTGCTGCTGCTGCTTGCTGCTGCTGCGCTGCTGCTGCTCTCTGGTGCAAAACCACAAAGGCAGCAGCAGCAGCAGCAGAACTCTTTTCTTCTTTTTCTCCATAAAAACAACCAGAAGCAACAGAGCCATCTGCTGCAGTTGAAGAGTACCACCCTGAGCAGCAGCAAACACCAAATGCATGCATGCATGCATGCATGCATGCATGCAAATTTGAATTTGCATGCATGCAAGTTTGAATCTGCATGCATGCAAGTTTGAATATGCATGCATGCAAGTTTGAATTAAATTGTTTTTGAATTAAATGGCATTTATTCCGTGAAGTTATTTTCGAAAAGAAAGATCTGGAAAGTGCACACAATTCAACTTCAACTCGGGAAAAAGAAAAGCAAATAAACTGCAAAAAGAAAAAAGGAAATTGCCAAAAAGAATAAAAGATAAATTGCAAAAGAGAACAAATAAACTTCAAAAAAGAAGAAAACAAGTAAATTGCAAAGGAAGAAGAACAAATAAATTGCAAAAATAAGAAAACAATAAATTGCAAAAATAAGAAAACAATAAATTGCAAAAAAAAAAAATCGAACAAAACAAGAAAAGTAAATTGCAAAAGTAAGAAAAGAAACAAATTGCAAAAATAAGAAAAGAAACAAATTGCAAAAACAAGAAAATAATGAATTGCAAAAGAAGAAAACAAGCAAATTGCAGAAAGAAGAAAAAAATAAACTGCAAAAGGAATAAAAGAAATAAATTGCAAAAGGAACAAAAGGAATAAATTGCAAAAGAAGAAAACAAACAAATTGCAAAAGAAGAAAAAAACAAATTGCAAAAAGGAAAATAAAAAGGAAATAAAAACAAACCCAATTGAGTTTTAGAAGGATCTGTAGAGTAGCAAACAGTCTCTCCATTGGAGTCCTCGAGGTCTCCGTCTTTGGCCTCTGGACAATTTTGTTTTACAGAATATTTTAAAATGGCGAAAAGTCGAGTTTTGTTTGTGAGGTGGACTTCGAGTCCTGGTGTACGTACACACGAAGCGGCGCATGCACAAGTGGAAAGCGTTCGAATTGAAACTGATCTGCACGCAATTCTGCGTCATTCTGGACAATTAATAGCTCGTTGAATTCAATTTTAATTTTAAATTCAAATATCTTTTTAGATTTTCAAAAACGGCCTTCAATTCTTTTCAAAATCCCTTTTTCGCCACTTTCCGCACCCACCCTCGTCGTACACCGCAGTCCAGCCCCCCACAACTTTCCCTTCTTTGTCCTTCACTGCCAACATTTTCCATTCATTTCGATGCAAATTATCTTTTGTGTCATAAATAAAATTAAAAGGAACAGTTTCGTCGCTCAGTTCCAGCTCCAGAGATGTCGATACACCTGAAACGCGCACCGCAGACGCACACTTTGCTGCTGCTGCTGCTGCTGCTGCTGCTGCTGCAGCTGGAAATGCCGCTTTTCTTTCCTTTTTCTTTCCACTACCCCCAAAACTATTTCTTTTCTTTTTCTCTTTTCATTTTAATTCCACTTTTCCTCCAATTGCCGCTAAATTCGCCGCGATTTTCACTCAACTGCTGCCACTTCAAAACCATTTTTCATCTAAATGCCCTTTCTGCTGCACTTGCTGCACTTGCTGCACTTGCTGCACTTGCTGCACTTGGCCCGAGGCCCTTCTGCTGCTGCTGACTGCCACAAAGCTGCTTTTTTTAATTAACAAAAACCATTCCAAAAATTGGCAAGAAAGCTCCTTTTCAATAACAAGAAAATCCCAATAATTGGCAAAAGCTGCTCTTTTTGAAGAACAAAAACCCCACAAAAGGCCGCAAAAGCTGCTTTTAATGAAAAACAAAAACCCTTCAAACAACTGGCAAAAGCTGCTTTTAATGAAGAACAAAAACCCTTCAAATGACTGGCAAAAGCTGCTTTTAATGAACAACAAAAACCCTTTCAATAATTGGCAAAAGCTGCTCTTTATGAACAAGAAAAACCCTCCAAATAACTGGCAAAAGCTGCTTTTAATGGACAACAAAAACCCCAAAAAGTGGACAAAAAGTCTCACCTCCGTGCCGACTCAAATAAGTCGTCGAGTCCGCCACAGGGGCCTCCAGATTTTCTGTGTTTTTGTTGGGGGCCCCCGAGCCACAAGAATGAATGGCTCCGGTCACTGGCGGAGTGAGCAAAAAGGTCCTTTTGAACAAAAAAAAGAAAAAAAGAATTTTAAAAATGGCAAAATATCAAAAAAGAAAAGGCATTTTCAGTCCTGATTAGAGTGCAGTAAGTCCGGTGTCTGTACACCCCAGCAGTGGTGTGTTGCGTTTAAATGCGCATGCATTATTTTATTTTATTTAATTTTATATCATTTCATTTCATTTTATTTCATTTTATTTTATTTTATTTTATTTCATTTTAATTCATTTGCTGCTTTGGTTTCAAAGATACTTGTTCCAGGTGTACGTACACAGGCGCAAGTGCGTGCAGACTCAAAAGCGCAGCTGCTGCAGCTGCTGCAGCAGCAACAGCAGCTGCAGCTGCTGCTGCTGCTGCAGCTGCTGCAGCAACTCCAGCAGCTGCTGCAGCAGCAGCTGCTGCAGCAGCTGCTGCATGCATCTCAGGCTCTGCACTTGTGGGGTCTTTTGAATTCTTTAATTTCTTTTGTCCTCACCAGCGGCCTTTCATGTCTTTAATTGTTGCATGAATAGGCAAGTCGGCGGCGACGGGCAGCAGCAAGCTGCTGCTGCAGCAGAGCAGCAGCAGCAGCAGCAGCAGCAGCAAGCGCGGCAGCAGCAGGGGGCCCCAGCTGCCGCGGGGGGCCCCTCCAGCGGGCTCTGTCCTCCGCATTTTGCGCCGGCTAAAAAGCAGCAGCAGCAGCAGCAGCTGAGCAGCAGCAGCAGCAGCAAGCCGGCCGCCGACAAGACACACCGCGCTGCTTCGCTGCTGCTGCTGCTTCTGCACGCTGCAGCAGCAAGTCCCTGGCGGGCTTCTGCAGTGTATGTACACCTCAAGGGGGGGAAGAAAGAAAAGGAAGAAAGGAAGTCAGGAGTGCGCGGGAGTCCGCAGGAGCAGCCAGGAGTGTGAATTGCTGCAGCAGCAGCAGCAGCAGCAGCAGCAGCAGCGGCAGCAGCAGCAGCAGCAGCAGCGCGGGGCCTGGGGAATAATTAAAAAGAGAAGGAAAAGCTGAAAATGGAAAATTCAAAAACGGAAATTCTCTCGGGCGGAAAGCAACGGGGCCGAGCCGCGAGAGGCTGGGGCGCTCGCGGGCTGGGGAATCCCGAAGTTGAATTGGAGAGAAAAAGGAAAGGAAAAGAAAAGAAAAGGAAAAGAAAAGAAATGGAAAAGAAAAGAAAAGGAAAGGACATTTGAATTCGCGGGAAATGAACTGTAGCGACTCCGCTCCAGGCCTGTTCAAGTTCTTCGCCAAGGACAGGCGTGGGACTGCTTAGCTAGCCGGCCCTGCAAACTCCGGAAGAAGCACTTTGAATAAACCTGCAGTCTCTCGCCTCAATTAAAAGCTTTTAAACCAAAAAACAAAACAACTTTTCGGGAAATTGCGCGAAAAAAAGACCAAAGTTCCGCGGAAAGCTGCTGGCAACTCTGCTGCAGGGGGGCCACGGAAGCCGCTCATCGACTGCGTCGATTTGGGTCTCGGCCGCCAGTTTGAAGTGCTCGTTCACCTTTATTTCACTTAATGTTTAATTTCAAATGAAGAATCTCGTGAAAAAAAGGACAAGAAGTTCTGAACTTGCTTTGCGCGTTCGCAGCCCGCCGCCAACCCGCCACCTGTCTGTACACCGCAGCCTCGTGGCGGTCTCGCGCGTCTCAGCGGCCACGATTAGACATTTATTTGCAGCTTTCTCCCCGAATTCTCTTTGCAAATGTGTTGCATTTCATCTTTTAAAGGCATTTCACCGTTTGAAATGGGACTGTGAGCCGCAGCCCGTGCGTGCATGGCTGGACACGAGCGCGGCGCAGTGGTCACCGCCGGCCGCGATCTTCCATGAATTCCGCGGCCTTTCTCGAATTAAACTTCTTCCTGAGGCGACAAAGAGTTTTTAATTCCATTTAAAAAACTCAGGAGTTGCTTTTCTTTCCCAAGTCGGCATGGCAAGACGCGCCCTGGGAGCCGCGAGAGTCGCCGCTTGCGTGGCAGCAGTTGCCGGGCTGGCCCTCGAGCCCGCCTCCAGCCTCCTCCTGCTGCACGATGAGGCAGCAGCAGCAGCAGCAGCAGCTGCTGCTGCTGCTGCTGCTGCTGAAGAAGGCCACGCAGACCACCCCAGCAGGTGGAAGCGCCGCTTCAGCAGTGGTCAGTTTCCAGTGGTCCCCGGAGACTTCCTGGACTGGTCTTCTTCTTCTTCTTTGCAAGACAGCGGCTTTTTCTGGCTGACTGTGTCTTCTCCGACTGCGCCCCAGCCCGGTGAGTGCACCTGCTGCTGCTGCTGCTGCTGCTGCTGCTGCTGCTGCTGCTGCTGCTGCTGCTGTGTCTGCGCGTGCTTCCGGGTGTCTGTACAGCAGCAGCAGCGTGCGCGGGGCTTTGTTTCTGGAGATCGTGGGCACTTTTGGAAAAGACTTTTTGCGTTTTGCGCAGAAGAGGACTTGGAGAAAAAAGAAACTTCTTTTTCTCTTCTGGAAAAGCAACACGGCGTTTCTGTGGTTTCAAATATCAGCGAAGGATTTAAAAATGCTTATTCAAATCCTCTGCAGGTCCCGCAGTCTTCTTCTTCGGCTTTCAAGCAGTTGCAGCAGGGGGGTGAGGTGTACATACACCCGGCGTGCATGCATGCATGCATGCATGCATGCATGCATGCATGCATGCGGCGTTGCACGCCTAGAGAAAGAGCTGGAGGGGGTTTAGCGCGCAGTTTGTTGGAGGTGCTGCTGCTGCTGCTGCTGCTGCTGCTGCTGCGCTGCAGCGTGCACGGCCTTGTGGGGAAAAGCAGAAAATGTCTCGAGACAAAAAGGAAGGAAAGGAATGGCGAAAAGTCTGAATTGGTTTTCGAGTTGCAGCGACTCGAAGTTTGCGCTGAGAGACTCGGGGCGTACGTACACCTGGCGCGAGTGCGCGGCCAAGCTCGCGGGGAACTTCACTTTCTTTTCCTGGACTAAAAATAAAAATGAAGAACTCGGGACTTGTACTTTAATTGGACTTAAAGAACAAACAACTCTCGACCAAAAGGCCCTTTCCAGCTGCCTGCGGGACGGTGGGGCTTTAAAGCTGCGCATTTGGATCTCTTTTAGTTCTTTTTTGTCTTGAGATGTTTTTAATCTTTTTTATTTTTTTTGAAGTGCTTTTTTCGCTAAGTCGGCTTTTTAAGACATCTTTGCATGCATGCGCATGCAAAGTGGTTCCTGTGCAACTTTGAAACGCAGACTTTTAAATCTGTTGAATTATTTCTCCTTTTTTCTTCCAAGCGCTGCATGCATGCATTTGGTTGGAGTGTACAGACAGCTGGCTGCCTGCTCCGCTTCGCGGCAGCGGGCGGGAAGCTGCGGATTTGTTTTGTTGCGTTTTTTTGTTTTAATTAATTTTTTAATTATTTTTTTAATTTATTTAATTTATTTTTTAAATTATTTGTTAATTTGTTTCTTTTGTTTCAGCCAAAGAAGGCGAAACGGCCGTCACGGGCTACGGCGCAGACTCTGCATGCACTTCCTGCGTCGTGGGGGAGTGGCAAGAAACGGGCTGCAGCAGCTGGTGCGAAGCCGGCTTTGCCGGGCGTTTTCGAGAAATTGTGCAGCATGCAAGTTTAAATTATTGCAAAAATGGAAAAGATTCTTTCTGCGATAAGTGTCCGCACTTGTGGGAAGTGGAAAGCTGCAATCAGGGCGTCAAGTGCGGTGAGCAGCGCTTTCCTGCGGTGTACGTACACCCCACTGCGCAAAGTCGCACGCGAACGCTGCGCAAGGTCGCGGCCCCGACCCAAGCAGCGGCTCTTTTATTATTACTATTATTACTATTATTGTTATTATTATTATTATTATTCTTATTATTATTATTACTATTGTTATTGTTATTATTATCTCTATTATTATTATTATTATCATTGTTATTATTATTACTATTATTATTATTATTATTATTATTGTTATTATTATTGTTATTATTGTTGTTATTATTATTGTTATTATTATTATTACTATTATTATTATTATTATTATTATTATTATTATTGTTATTATTATTATTATTATTATTATTTTATTATTATTATTATCATTATTATTACTATTGTTGTTATTGGTGTTATTGGTGTTCAGGAAACGGCATTCAGCTGGGCACGCACTCCTGCCCGGCGGCGGCCGACAAAACTCAACTCAAAACAAAGAGCTGGAGAGATTGCCAAAAAGAATGTGTCGATAAATTCACAGCCAGTGGAGGCGCTGCGTAGGCAGTTATAAATTTAATTTAAAGTTTTTATTAATTTAATTTAAAGTTTTTACATATTTAGTTTAAAGTTTTTATATATTTAAAGTATTTATATATTTAAAGTTTTTATATATTTTAAGTTTTTATATATTTAGTTTAAAGTTTTTATATATTTAGTTCAAAGTTTTTATATATTTAGTTTAAAGTTTTTATATATTTAGTTTAAAGTTTTGAATTTCGTTTACTTTGGTCCAAAGTTGCATGCAAACACTTGCATGCGTTTTGCATTAACACCCAGCAGCTGCTTCAGAGCTTGCTTTGCAGAGTTTGTTTCTGCACATCTTTTTTATTCTTTTATTTATTTTTTTTAATTTCATTTAATTTCCTCTTAAGCTTTTCCAATTCTTCTCTTTTTCCCATTTTACTCTGCAGCCTTCCACAGACATAACAAACAACAGAAGTGCATGCAATGCATAAAACATAATTATATTTAAAATAATATATACTTATATACAAAACATATCAATTGTATTTAAAATAATATATACTTATATACAAAACATATCAATTATATTTAAAATAATATATACTTATATACAAAACATATCAATTGTATTTAAAATAATATATACTTATATACAAAACATATCAATTATATTTAAAATAATATATACTTATATACAAAACATATCAATTATATTTAAAATAATATATACTTATATATAAAACATATCAATTATATTTAAAGTAATATATACTTATGTATAAAACATATCAATTATATATTTAAAACAATATACATTTATATACATATATCTATTGTATATACACATATATATAATATATATTATATATATTAAATATATTTTTTGAAATATATATACATTTATATATATATATATAAATATAATTTATTAATTTTTTTTGAAAATAAATAAATAAAAGTGCTGCGAAATGCGCATGCAGGGCGGACCCGCGTACGTACAGCGAAGCGAGTTGTTTTTATTTTGCATTTAACAACAGCACTTTGTCTTGTGAGTTGTCGAGTTTAATGAGCTGCAGCAAGCAGCAGCAAACGGACTCCGTGTGGCTTTCCGGAGACGCAGCAGCAGCAGCAGCAGCAGCAGCAGCAGCAGCAGCAGCAGCAGCAAAAGACTTCTCTACTACTCAGTGGAGCTCCTGGTCGGAGTGGAGCAGCTGCGAGGGTATAGACACCTCAAAGGGCTGGAAGAAGAGACGCAGAAATGTAAATTTAATTCTATTTAATTTTATTTTATTTATTTTATTTTGTTTTGTTTCCTTTTCTTTTTCGTAAAGTTCATTTAATTAAATGTTTTCCTTTTTTCTGATAACAAAATTCTTTTTTAAATTCAAAATCTTTTGGATTTTATTTTTGCTGCTGCTGCGCCTCTTTTGCATATTTTTGTCTTTTTCCTGCAAAGACAAAAACCTCTTTTGTGGTAACTAATAAGTGGATTTGTTCCTTTCGCCATTGCTGCTGCTGCTGCTGCTGCTGCTGTGCTGCTGCTGCTGCTGCTGCTCTGCTGCTGCTGCTGCTGCAGATTATTTCGTATGGATTCGTGGATGACAACGAAACCGCAGAAGAGAAATTATTTGAAGTTGCTTCCTGCAAAGAAGGAGGGACTTTGAATTCTTCAGAAGTTAGCAACAACATGCACGGTAAGCTGAGGCCTTTTCCTAGGGTTTAGGGTTTAGGGTTTAGAGTTTAGGGTTTAGGGTTTAGGGTTTATGGTGTAAAGGTTTATTTCCCTCCCAGGCTTCACGCTTTACCCCATAGTGTAGGGTTTAGGGTTTAGGGTTTAGGCTCCACACATTCCGCCGCTGCTGCTGCCACTGCTGCCACTGCTGCCACTGCTACTGCTGCCACTGCTGCTGCTGCCACTGCTGC